CAGGGGACCCCCACCTCTATCATTCGCAAATATCTCGACTTTTATTCAAGATAAATGGATATTTTTTTCATCCAAATAAAGACAAGTGAACAAGCTTTAAGATGATACCAATAACCTTACATGCCCAAAAATTGACGAGAGCCTGATTCCACCACGCTGCCTCACACATATCGAGGACAAGGTCCTTTTTTTTCTCTTTTTATTTTGTTTTCGTAATTACTTTACGGTGTTGCAAATGCGTATGATCACATGGGCGCGCTGGCTATGTTAATCATTTGCAATTTGATACTAATTAATTTTGTTTATTTACGTTTAATTTTATCATCAAACTGTCCAAGACGACCACCTGTCTAATGTGACAACTTTCCTCAATAATCTTTGGTTTCTTGGACAGGGCCGATTGTATTAATCACCTGAGATAAGATCTTTCTACAAACATGACTTAGAAATAAATAAGGTGGGATCTTCTCATAACGCTTGAACTGATTTGTTTCTTGCAACTGCAATGGATACGGGATCATATTGAAAATAGACGACATGGAATTCATATGGGACACACCCTCAGAAAATCCTGAGGAAACATCACAAGATAGTCGCTGCATCGGAACCCACTGGGAACACGAGGCAGGGGTAGGCTACGGGAAACATAGAGGAGATTTGTGGAGAGGGACATGACGAGAGAGATGGAGCTCACTTGGAACGATCTTGGAAGGATGGCCCAGGACAGAGATAAATGGAAGGAGCTAGTGATGGCCTATACCCTTCCAGGGGTGAAAGGTATTGGTGATGATAGTGTAAATCACATAGAGCTTGCTGTCCAAAGGGGGTATGCGCTATAAAAAGCAGCTTATTATTATTAGTATTATTTTTATGATGATGATGATGATGATGATTATGATTAATTATTATTATGTTTGTTGTTGTTGTTATTATTATTATCATATCATTATTATTATTATTATTATTATTATTATTATTATTATTATTATTATTATTATTATTATTATTGTAGAAAAAATATTATCCAAACTCGATGAGATCGTACTGTCCTTTGTGTTAACGTTTATTCTGTTGGGCATTGTTATGCTTTGAAGAAAACCGGTTTTGGTAATTGTGCGGACACATTATGTGATTGTACTTCCAGCTGGGATAATAATTAACATTTGTAGATGAAATATGCACAGAATGTTTCTAATTTCTTGCAAATACCATGAAAAATAAAGAACAGTAGGCAAATAGCTGTTACAAAATTCAGTTTTGTGATAAAAACGTGTTTGTAGAAATTTGGCAAATGGTGCAAATTTTGTTTAAGTTTAACGTCTCCTCAACCTTTTTTTCTCTTTCTTCCACCTACACTTAATGCATTCGAACATATGCTCAAATCCACAAGCACACTTAAAAATAGTTTGGATTTCTTCCCAATAACCACATGTCTCCAGACAATCATGTCGCTGCCACACACAGGGGAACAGCTGTCGAAATGACTCCCATGAGCCTTCTTTCTTTCTATTGCATCAACATTCAGTCAACATAAAATATGTGGTATCGTGGTTGAAATCAGGCGCTTGTCAAAATAATGAAATCGAAGAAACCGACGTTATTCCGTCTGTTGGCCAGGTTTTTTTTTTTCTTTAATCAATTGCATTTTTATTGTCTCAACACGTTTTATGTCCATTCAAAACATTGTATGTGTAGATTTCAGTATGGAAAAGTGTTCACTAAAGGCATAATAAATATAAATTAAACAGTTTCCATTGATTCTCAAGTGTTGGAAGTCACAAACGTAGCTGCCTTTTTCTGACACCAGGCAACCCCCTGCTCGTCCAACCGCAAATATCTCGACTTCTATTCGAGAGAGATGGACATTTTCCCCATCAAAATCACGACAAATGAAACAGATTTAATATAATACCAATACCCTCGCAAGACCGTAAATCGACGAACGCCGGAGTGTGGGTTGATGACGTCGTTTAATTTGTTCCTTTGAACATTATTATATAATTTTGCATTATAATAATCTCTTGGGGAGTTGAAAGAAGCTTGATATGCCATGACGTCATAGCAACCGCCCCCCCCCCCCCCCCACATGTAAAGCCGACATAAGATGGAGGCCCCGAATGTGACATATACGTCAAAATATAGGTCAAATAAGCTCCCAAAAGTTCCACAGGAATAAAACGAAAGAATTGCAATCACCAAGGCTAGTTTCAATAAAATGAGCAGAATCCTAAAACAGTAGAAACATCTCAATGACTGCCAAACTTAAAGTTTTATAGTAGAGCTGGGCAATGAGTCGCTTCAGCAAAATCCGGATATTATTTTAGTGCACCTCTTCGGATAATAATATGACATGAACCGCTTCGGCAAATGGGTTAGAATCACTTTGACAAACGGGTTATCATCACTTCAACAAATTGGTGCACCCACTTCGGCAAACGGGTCAGGAAAGAGAGTTAAGAGTCTGAAATCGGATAATGTTTCATTGAGAATTATCCGGTTATCTTTTCGGATTATCCGGATTTTGCCCACCTCTATTATATAGTGCTATGTATTGTCAACCCTTCTATATGGCTGTGGATACTGGACAATCACTAATGAGAGTGGAAATAAAATAGAAACAACACAAATATGGTTTCTTAGGAGGCTGCTGAGGATTTCTTGAAAGGAAAAGAAATCACTTGATGTAGTACTTGATAAAGCCCACGTGGGATGCTCACTGTTAGATACAATAAGGAAACGACAATAAATGCAGTTTTTGGGACACCTGAGTAGAAATATAGGTCTTGAACATCTAGCTCTCATTGGCAAGATTAAAGGCAAGAGAGCCAGGAGTATGTCCAGAGCATCATCATCATCATCATCATCATCATCATCATCATCATCATCATCATCATCATCATCATCATCATCATCATCATCATCATCATCATATCATCATCATCATCATCATCATCATCACTCACACTCACAAATACACAAACTTACAAAAACACACACACACACCCTCCCTCCGTCTACTCGTTCTCTCTTCCTCTCTCCTCTCCCCCCACTCTCTCTATCTCTTTTTCTCTCTCCCCCTCTCTCCCAATCCCCCTCTCTCTCTCTCGCTCGCTCTCTCTTTATCTCTCTCTCTCTCTCACACACACACACACACACACATACACACACAAATA